GTACTGCGCAGAGGGATGTCTTGGAGGCTGGGGGTTTGGGGCCAGAGTAGCAGGAGTGTGATCTTCTGAAGAGCAGACGGTACAATTCCTTCAGAATCCCCGGTGCTGCAAGCTACTGACCTAGCAAATTGAAAGCCCCACACAGATCATTTGCAGGTTTAATATGCTCCTTTGTACTGTTGGCCCAAATAATATCGTGAAAGACAACGATCCATGTTGCAGTCCGGTGAGGAGTGCACATGTGGAACTGAAGGGAACATACTTGGGTCCACATGTCAGGCTGGGGCTGCATTACTGTACACAGACACCTCCACTTCATCGAGAACCGTTTGAAACCTTACCCGCCACTAGCGTGATTGCGTTTCACAGCCAGCTAGACTGTGCGTACTCTGTCTTTTCAGAAGAATCACATAATAAATAAGCTGAATCCTAACATACCCACACACACACATTCCCTCTTTATGGAAAATGGCTGCTAATCCATGATCATTTTTTTTCCAGAAACAGGTTTTATGATAATATAGTAAAAATATTAAATTAGAAAATGCCTCACTAAGGGTTATAAAACCTTACTACACTAGAGATAGGTAATTATCCCCTCTACAGCCTAAATGACAGTTTAAAAGAAATAAAAATGTTAGTGCTCATTACTTGCTTTTGTAGGTTGCAATAAAGGGTAAGTTAAATTTTAATTCAAGGAAGAGCCCCTGCTATCGACCTTCTACCTCAGGTCCAAGTCCTGTTAATTACTCTGTAGGTTATTCTCCTGCATGATACCAACATTAATACATTTTCTGCGGACGTTCCCACTGGCCACGGAGACAAGAGTGTGAAGTAGGGGGGTAGGGAGGCATTTCAGATCAGTGATTCAAATCTTGATTCTTAATGTGATAGGGAGCAGGAATTATGTATTTAAAAAAAAAAAAACCCAAGTTCATTATGCATAGCCTTAAGGGGACCTTGAGTATTAAACTATACACTTACCCTGGAGAATCAGATGGAGACAAGGTTAACCTGAAGGATTGATAGTTCAGCTTCTCTGCACGGCTAAATCCCGGCCAGGAAGGATGCTGTGGGGGAAACGTTCGGGCAGGAGAAGGCAGCTGGCCCTCGGTCCCATGGCGGCTGTTTGTTGCCTAGTTTTTAGTTTTAGTTTTGTTTCTCTTGGGATGGGGTGAGGGATATGGACGTGTTTTGTTTCTTTTCTGCGTTTACCTTTCCCTAAGCATCAACACAGATCTAGCACCTGTCTGGGTTTGGGGGAAAGCTCGGTGCTCCCTGCACCTCAGTCTTCATACCAAGGTGCAGAGACTTCCCAAGAAGTGGACACAGATAGTTTTAAGGAACCATCTCCAGACTTGCGCTCTTTCCTAGAAGCGGCCTGCCCGAGACGAGGCCTGTGCTGGAGGGGCCGGTTCTCCTTTTGCCTCACCTTTCACCATAATCCTCCTCCTCCCACCTGGTGGGAAGCCCACCGTAACAGGACAGGGACCTCAGGCTGCAGTGGGAAAACCTCCAGGGCACCAAACGCAAGGATAGTTGGAAATAGGGGTGCAGGGAGTGCGAAAGGAAACGCCGAAGGACTGCCTGCCAGATCCCCTGGGCGTCAGATGGTCTCCAGGTCTTTATTTTTAACAATATTCCAAGAGAACACGAGTCAAGTTGTCAGTTTATAAATAATTAGAACTAATTTTGGGCGATGGATTACTATGATTTTTTTTTTCCATATGATTCGGAAGGAATTAAAAGACGTAAGTGATGTTGCTATGACAAAACTCTCTGATTCCTAGCTACTTGTTTGTGTGAGAAGGTTTCTCAGTGCTTGCATCTACAAAAACAAAAAATAGGGAGGGGATTAAAGCAAAACACTCTTTCATTCTAGCAGTAAAGAATCACATTCATCCATGGGGGTCCATGAACAGATGAGGGAAAAGCCTCATCCTTACGAAGGGATGCATTTCTAGTAGCATTTTACATGTTTATATATATAAGTTTTCACTAAAATTATAGTATATATCAGTTGTATCCTAATAATAATGATAACTCCAATCCAGAAGAAAATTTTTTAACCACTTAGAGTCTTATTACTGTCTCAAGAAATTAAAATACTTTAATTTACAGTTTTTGAATTTTAAAAATTTCAAAAGTGTTTCCAATTCATACTTTATTGGTAGGGTAATCAATAAAAGATTTCCAAGTAAAGAAACAATTATGTCAGGACAAAAATCTGTAGGGAAAAGTCAGATGGAAATACACAAGTTTAAGAAGAAGAAGATGCTGCGAAATCTCCAATTTTAAAGAGTGTTCATGTTACTGGAATGTGTGACAGCATCAAAGCAATGCGACATATAGATTCTATCGGGCACGTTACAAAAGGGATGTAAGGGCTTTATTTTAAAAGTTAATATTCACAACATTCTGGTAATTCTATCTTTTGTGACTATTTAAATTTATGAAAAACATATGGCGGCTTAAAATGGCGAGAGTGATGCGAGGTGTTCTGCAGGCAAACGGGTTGGCAAGACCGTGCCAGGCTGGGAAGGGCGGTGGGAGACCTCAGGGAGTCTGGAGGCCTCAGGGCGGGTCTCCTTTGCCTGACTCGCAGCTGGGGCGGCGGGGGATGGAGAGAGCAGGAGAAGGGAGCAGAAGAGTCACCAGCAGATTGTCACCGTGTCCTTGGGAGAGGTGGTGAGATGTGAATAGTGAGGTCCAGGGGGGCAGCTGGGTTTGAGATGCTGCGAAGGTGGAAACGGTCCCTGATTGGTGGTGGACGGTGAGGGTGGGGGAGAGCAAAGTCGAAATTGCTTGGGGGTTTTAGACTGAAATAATCCCTTATTCATATTCCCTCTCTCTGTAAAAATATTTTAAGAACCCAGACCACTCAGCTCTCCAGGTTGCTTTGCCATGAACAGCCGCATATGTTTGTCAGCTTTGCCCACCTGAGTGTGAAATGATGTTCTATCAAAACATGGGTTTCATCATTTCACTCTCTGCTCCTGACATGCGAACCCTGCTGTGGACAGTAACCGCGCCGTGGGCCCGGGCGCCGCTGCTACCGCGGCGGAGTGGAAGCATCTGCTCCGTGGTAATGATGGGGCTGGCGCAGGCAGCAGGGCGAGCTGGAAGGCTGTGATTGGCAAGGGCTGAACAGGCTGCGCTGCTGCATCTCCCTCTCATCGGACCTCGTCCTCTTAAAGTCACACTGTCCTTTTTGTCCTGGCAACTCGCCCCTTCATGCCATTCAGTTTTTTTGTGGAAGTGGCCAGAGAGACTTGTCGTTACTGGCACCTAGGCAGGCCATAGTGTGATGAAGTGAAGGCAGGCACGCTGCTGTTAGGTGCCGCAGCTGGTGATCTGGAGGCCGCGTGTGCTCATTTGCATGTGGTCTGAGGCTGCCTCTCACCTTTTCCCACCTTTGCTGGTTGAGGGCTGGTCACACAGATGTGCACAGCAGAGGAACAACAGGCAGTGGAGCTTGGGGTGAACCTGCATCCTTTGTCTGTAGTTCAGGGTGAGGCTACCAGCAAATTCGTGCCATAAAATTTCTGTAATAAAATCAGAGACCCATTGTTCTGGCCTGTAACTTCATTGTCTCTCTGTCCTGTGGTCCCTAACATGATACGGCTGGCTTACATTTTTGGCTTCTGTGGTTTCTTCTTTAAGATTTTTTCTTTTTACCTTTTTAAATCTTTGATCTGTTATTCCTATTGCTGGGTTTTCTAATTATAGTACTTCTATTCCTATCCATACTATAGTAGACTGACTTCAGAAAAAGACTAATAAGTTTGTGTGTTGAAGTCTTGCTGAACCGAGATGGCTGTTTGAAGGGTGGGTTTTTGTTTTGTTTATAAAGTCAGATTTACTGACAATGACCCCTGGATAATGAGAGCACTTTTCAAAGCCTGTTTTCTTAACAAGGGTGGCAGGCTATATTTGTGGTTAGATCTTGAAAATACCAGAGCAGGTGTAGCTTTCTGCTGGGGTTGTAGATGCTCCAGCTTGTGGCCTTAGCTCTTCGCGAGCCGTCCTCCCTCCACGAGGTCAGTGGCTGCAGAGTGCAGGCAGGGATTGCCTGTCTCAGTGAGCCGTGTCTTCCACGGGCCCCTCCCTAGTGTCAGGGACATTCTCAGGTGGGTCTGACCTGCTTGGAACCTGGTGGCTTCTCACATCTCTGCGGGGAGGATCTGCTCTGTAGCCACAGGGGAGAGAGTTCTGGAGCTTCCGTCATAAGGATAGGAAAGATCCTCACTCCCTTCCCCTTTTAGGTTTTCTAGGCCTTGGCAGATGGCTTTGGCCAGATGTTTGTTATATATGTTGCATTTAATAGCAGGAACAGAGGTTGGAAGCGATCATTTACTGTATTTTCAGGGACCCAAGACCCCGGCATGTCACATTTTTTTACATCAAAATTTTTTTAACATCAGAATTCAACTCTAGAAATAGATTAGCCAATCATATTAGTTATTAGACTCAGAATAGAGAAAAGGGGGCTGGGAAGTGGGGAAGAACCTTGGTTCTGCTCCTGAACAGCTGCACATATGATAGTAATTGGAATCTTGTTGCTGGGTCATTTTCATTGTTTTTCAAGTACTGCCAAGTCCCAGAAAAATGTATGAAAACTAAATTATATCCCCCTGCATCCCGTGTCTGATTGAATCCTCCTCATTGCGTGGCAGTCTCATACATCCTATTAAAATATTCAATCTTGTTTTCTTACTTGAAGAGCCTGTCTGTAAAGGGCAAACTTATAGAAAACTCATTCCCTAGAGACAGGGTATCCAGCCTCACTGGACTATTTACATATTTTACTATTTGATTGGCTGCTTCTGGGTCTCTTCCTTCGTCGTATTTGTGAATAAGAGCTGTGGGATACGTTTTTAATTACACAGCTGTGTTTTCAACTGAAAAAATAGATTGGGGTATTGCCCACCTTCCTAGTTTCTTTTTAACCTTGAAAAGCGAACCTGCGTGTTAACTGATTTGTTCTGTTTGTCTCCTAGGACAGAGCTGTATCGCTCTCTCTTTGGCCAGCTCCGCCCTTGTGGTGAAGGCCACAGGGATTGACATCGCTCGTGTCCCTTGCTGCTGACCTGAGGCAGGGCCTCCCCACACCCAGCGGTGCCTTGGCCGGTTGGCTGCTCGTCCAGTGGAGAAAACCAGTGACTTTATGGGGTTTGCCTAGTAGGGAAATCCCTGGGAAGGTGCTGTGTTCAGAACAAATGCCTAGTACGTGCGAGGGCACTGTCCCCCCCGCCCCACGCCCCGTGTCCTTTAATAGTCACAAATAAAGAGCACTGTTACTGCCACCATCGCCGTGTGTGATTTCTTAAGTATCTCAGAGTAAGTCTGATTTAGAGCTCTAGCAGGATTTTCTTTCTTTTTTTTTTTGGTCAAATGGCCTCTTCATAAAATACAAACTTTACATCTTTGTTATCTTTTCACCCCTGAAAAACACTTAGGTTGTTTCCGTATCGTGGCTGCTGTCAGTGATGCTGCAATGAACATGTGAGTGCAGATGCCGCTTCGACATACTGATGCCAGTTTCTGTGGATGTGTACCCAGAAGTGGGCTTGCTGAATCATGTGGTAGTTCTGTGTTGAGTGTTCGAGCAGCTCCATACGGTTCCCCGGGCGCTGTGCCGATTCACATTGCCGCCAGCAGTGCACAAGGGCCGCCTCCCTCTGCGTCCTCACCAGCGCTCGTTACCTTTCGTCTCTTTGTTAACAGCCATCCTAACAGGTGTGAAGTGATACTTCATCATGGCTTTAACTTGCATTTCCTTAATGATTAGTGATGTTGGGCATTTTTTAAATGAATCTGTTGGCCATTTATATGTCTTTTTTTTTTTTTTTTTTTTGAGGCAGAAACTCGCTCTGTCTCTCTGGGTAGAATGCAGTGGCGTTACCATAGCTCATACAACTTCAAACTCCTGGGCTCAAGCCATCCTCCTGCCTTTAGCCTCCTGAGTAGCTGGAAGTACAGGCATGCACCACCATGCCCGGCTAATTTTTCTATTTTTAGTAGAGACGGGTCTTGCTCTTGCTCAGGCTGGTCTCAAACTCCTAACCTTAAGCGATCCTCCTGTCTCGGCCTCTCAGAGTGGTAGGATTACAGGCGTGAGCCACCACGCATGGCCTGTATGTCTTCTTTCGAGAAATATCTGTTCAGGTCCTTTGCCCATTTTTTAAATGGGTTATTTGTTTTCTTGTTATTGAATTGTTCGAGTTTCTTACATGGATGAATGCATAAAATAAAATGTGGTGGGTGGGTGTATATATACAATAAAAAAATACTACACAGCCTTAAAAAAGAAGGAAATTCTGTTTTTTGCAACACTGGTTGAACCTGGAAGACATTATGCTAATTGAAATAAGCCAGGCATAGAAGGACAAAATCGCATGATCCTAATTATATGTGGAACGTAAAAAAGACAAACTCATGGAAGTAAGGAGAGTAGAATGGTGGTTACCAGAGGCTGGGGGTAGGGGTGGGGCATGGGGAAATGTTGGTCAAAGGGTACGAAGTTTCAGTTAGGAGGAGTGAGTTTTGAGATCTGTTGTATAGCAAAGTGACTGTAGTCAATGATAATGTATTTTTCAAAACAACTTAGTAAATTTCAAGTCTCTCACCACAAAAAAATGGTAAAACAAATGAGGTGATGGATGTGTTAGTTTGATTTTATCATTCCACATTGTATGTGTTTATCAAAACATAACATTGTACTCCATGAAATATATACAATTATGATTTGTTGATTTAAAATAATAGTAATTTTTTAAAACTTCGCAGAAGGAATAATTGTGGGGCAGGATGCTGCTTTCTGAGTGGATAATGTTTAGTGCTTTGTCGTGCTCTGAGGAACAGGGCATCCCCAAAACCTATGCGCTGTGCCCAGGAGACTTCGTAACTTGGAGGTATTTGCCTATTTGTCATTAAAAACAGACTTACAAAGTTTCTTCCAGAGTCTTTTCCATTCTCACCATTCCTAAATCACCTTATTGAGATGAGCTCCAGTGTAAATCTAGCAGGAGATGATTCACTTGTTTTTCATCCAAAGGTCAAAAGCTGGAAATTAAATCCTCATAAGGGGGATTTATTGGCTTGCTGTGGTCAATATGCAACGAAGATTATCTTGTGTAAGTAATGTCTGCGTGTGGGCCCACCAGCATACAGGACTGACCATCCCATGGGTCCTTCGGCCAAATCTTTCTGCAGAGCTATGGAATTTGAAAGGAAATGTGGAATCCAGGCAACTGAGTACAGTTGTGAATAACTAGTCATTGTTTTTGAAGTCTTATTTTGGTATTAGTTTAAAATGCCAAAACCGGATGACAGATTTTTGTGCCCAGGCAGTCTGCATATTCCTGCCTGGGTGTCTGGGGACGGCTGCACAGCACCCAAAGGCTGGGTTCCCGTAAAGCGAGTCCTGACGTAATCATCGTGGTTTAGTTTTCACATAGACGCGTCTGCTGAGCTCGGGAGGAGGCAAACGGGAGGGAGGAGGGTTTTTCCATCTCATATTAATTGGACCTCGGTACATGGTGATTTGTTTTTCTTGTCTCAGCAGTTACCTCTTGGGCTCGACTGTCAGGGAAATGTTTAATTTCATTGTGTCTCCAGTTACCCAAAAGATCAATTCACCACATTCACCCCATTCAAAATGATCACTTTTTAAAATACAGAACATCCAGTGCCGTCCATCTGGCCTGAGGGTTCTGAAAAATGCACAGTGGATCAGCAAGGAAGCGACCTCTTCATATGGCGCTTTCTGTGAGCCTGACGCCAACCCACGTCTCCCCACCTTTGTCATCGTCACTATCTGATGAAGAAAAGGATTTAAACAGGTACTTCAAAATATTTCGAGTCCAGCAAGTTTAATTAAAATGAGTTAAAAACAGGAAAGATGAGAAAGAAGGAACTGACAGAATTTTCACTAAAGGGAGGCTTGCGTTTTAAAATTCAGAAGACCACCCTCCTTCCAGCCAAGAATAAATTGGAAACTATTTTAATTGACACGGATACTGCAATTCAACTGTTACTAGAAAGACAGATTAGTTGATTGATTTGCATTTTAATAAAACTAATACTTTACATTTTGGTAGCTAATGCTGATTTTTAAATGAGTTGAGAGCAGTTATCAAGAGTTTCAATCCACAGCCCTTTTTCAGTGTTGACTGAAGCATTCCTCTCTTTTGTGTGGAGTTTGCTGATTTTATTTTTGCCCAGCTGACTGCTTCACACATGGCGCTCGTAAACCGTAGACCTTGAAGGTCTCACCAGGACAGTGAGGCGGTGAGCTGGCCACAAGGAAATGCGGCAGCCTCCAGGCCCCCACCCCGGCCAGAGATGGGCCTCTCCCTCCAGCAGAGAGAAAGTGGTGAGGCTGGCCTTTTGTCTTATTTTTACTTTAAAAGTGAATCACAGAAAAGTAGAAGGAACAAGGAAAAACAAGACGGCCGTGTCCCATCACCCAGAAATAACCACTTCTCACATTAACACGTCAGTACTTCACGGCCCCCTCCCGTGGGGAGGAGCAGTCCTGCCAAACAGCCCCAGTGCTTCTCAACAGGAGAGGTGCCAGGGAACGGCAGGGAGACTTGCTTTTTACTTTTGCACTGTTGGAAATGTTTTACTTACCCTTTTAAAAGCAATAAAAACAAAGTCCCCGTGCAGTCTTGTCTACCACCAGAGCCACCCCTCCCACGACACATACACTACCAGTTAGGGACCACGGTACCCAGCAGTCTGCGCTTTCACATTAATAGTACAAAGATTATGTCCATGTTTTTACAGACATTCCGATTGCCAACTAATAATTCCAGGTCTCATCAATATTTAACCAGATCCCCTGTCGTTGGACATTTACCTTGTGTCCAGGTTTTTGCTTTTAGGAATAATGTTACAGGAAAATATTTGTGCAGTAAGCTTGTTTATTGTGTTTTTTGAAGCTTTTGTTTTCCTTGCCATATATTTTTAGGAGTAAAGTGAACCAAGTAGAGAAGAGTCTATGATCTAGGGTGATGGGAGCTGCAAAAAAAACAAAGTCTAAATATTTTCAGACCCTTGGTACATGTGACGGAGGCTTGTTTTAGGGCCTTCATCTACTTCCCACTTGCCCAGGCCGGCGTCTGTAACAAAGGGTGTGGGGCAGGGAGGAGACTGGCCCTGGAGTTTCATCCTGGGGTTTATTTCTTACTCCCCAGGGACCCCTTCAAATCAGCACCCTCTTCTGGGAGGATTAAAGAGCTGCTGTGCTTAATGTGCTTTGAGATGCTCCAGCGAAAGATGGTGGATAAATAGAAAGTGACACTGCGTCTCCCTCCCTGGCCCTCATTTTTTTCCTGGCTGCTGCTCGCATGTAATTTGCTCTCCACCCTCCTCCCCTCTAGTTTTCGTGCTCTGGCCACTTTCCGCGCCTTCGTCCTGGGCTCTCCCTGGCAGGTTTTCCTTGTGCGGGTTTGAGCTCCTCCCAGCTGCTCTGTGCCTGGTTTCTCCCCAGGGCCACTACCCGAGCCTCCTTACTGAGCATCATTTGGAAACCCAGAGTGTCAGAAGACGACGCTGGGGGAAGCCAGCTCCAACCACTGCAGTAACAGCCTCTGCATCTCCAGCTTAGGGAAAGATTCCTTTTATGTATTTTGTTTTTATGTATCTTTTTTTTTTTTTTTTTTTTACTAATCAGCTGGATTTAAGATGCAAGGAAAAGTTTTCTGTGAGAGGTTGGTTTCCCTGGTCTCCACATGCATTGCTAAAACCTCTCTGAGAGAACTGCCTCTCTACCTCTTGCCATCAGATCCAAAGGGAGCCTAGTTTGAGGCTTAGAATTAATCCAAATGTGACATTCATTATAAGCCTTGGTACCGTTCCCCAGGACGAAGCAGTCACTGTGTATATGGAACGTGTTAATGCCGAGATCCATGCCCCCCTGGGCCACCCGCAGATGAGGTAGCCACACGCCACAGCAGGACTGTGCAGACCATCGAGGTAAAGGACGTGGGGAAGGAGCCCCAGGCTGCAGGTGTTTCCTGCCGGGGCGACTGCCTGCCCCTCTAGTGACACCGTGACAGCGCCACTCTGTGTACTTGCTGTTCTGCTGCTTTATGTCTAATAAAGACAAATAGAACAGTGAATCTTGTCTAAAACGAATAAACCTTGTTTTCTGTATCTTAGTTTGTGTTTTTACTTTTTAAATGTATGTACGTGCTTGTTTCTATGTGCTAGGAGTTCAATTGCGCTTGTCTTCACGAACAGAAC